TTCCCTTTTTTCTTCTCCCAAAAAAAACATAGTTTATAAGCAACAGATTTGTTTTCTGGATTGTAGTGCGGAAGCTGCTGCATTAGAAACCATAGCTGAGTTTGCCCAGTAGAGTTTTCAAAGCTAAGAAAAAGAAAGTGGATGAACTTGTTTGTCGCAAATAGGTTTTACAGAAGAAAACGGGCTAGAAGACATTTGGGGGCTGGGCCTGCAAGCAGCAGAGACCTGGGGACAGGCCGCATCTGGCCTGGGTATGTGTGTGGCCGAGTGGGCCCTGGGCTGGGTGTGACGCCACCTCCGCTCCCTTCCAGCCAAGTACATTGTGCAAGTGGACGGGAAGATAGGGCTGTTCCGAGGCCTGAGCCCCCGGCTGATGTCCAACGCCCTCTCCACCGTGACCCGGGGCAGCATGAAGAAGGTGAGGCTGCGAGGAGCGTCCTTCCCCGTCCTGGCCTGGTGGGGACTGCAGACCATGGTGGTCAGACCCTGAGTTTCATGCTTAGACAGACTCCTGCCCCGCAGTCCCCCACTGCCCGCAGCTCTGACACCAGACAGCATCTTCCTCCCCCAGGGCTCCCAGCCAGCGTATACGGCAGAGAAGTGTTAGGAACTGGCCCTTCACACCTGTGTCCCTTAAGAGTCTAAAGGCAGCGCTCTCCTTAGCTTTGGGCCTCCTTTGTGTCTTTCATGTCAGGTTTTCCCTCCCGATGAGATCGAGCAGGTTTCCAACAAGGATGACATGAAGACATCTCTGAGGAAAGTCGTGAAGGAGGTGAGAATCGAGAATTGGAGAGGGAGAGGCTCTTGGCGAGGGTCTATTTCTCTTCCCTGCGTTGGGTGGGCTTTGAAGGAGGACGGAATTGGGCCCTCATGAGTGCATGGCTGGGGTGGTGTTGGAAGGCACCCCAGCCGGACCATGTAGGGAGCCCAGAAAGCCTCGGCCACTGTGGGGCCTGGCCTAGAGCCCTGCAGCACCTCAGGGTGCAGGGGAGGGTGGGCAGCAAGGAGGGCCATCCCTGGTGAACTGACCCCACGCAAAGGTGGTGGGCTCTGGTTTCGCCCATGAGAACTTGCCACTTTCCCATGAGTGCCAGTTCCAGAGACGGGCGTGACGGGCCCTTCCTCTGCTCTTTTCCAGACTTCCTATGAGATGATGATGCAGTGCGTGTCCCGCATGCTGGCCCACCCCCTGCACGGTGAGCCACCTGGGCACTCTGAGCCGCGAGTGCTGCGTGGGTGGGTGGGCGTGGGATTCCACTGCAACCCCACCGAGGAGAGTGCCCGAGTTCCTTTCCAAAGGCAGTTAGGACTCTTGCCAGGCAGAAGACACGGGATGCTGTGACCACGGGGTGTGCAGGGGTGGCGGGGGCCCTGGTCTCCTGCAGGCAGTCCTAGGCCGTGCTGTGTAGTGGCCGCTCGGCACAGGTGCGCTGTGGCGGGGGTGACAGGGCTCTGGCCCACCGTATCACCCGTGTGTGTTTTCTTTCTCCACAGTCATCTCAATGCGCTGCATGGTCCAATTTGTGGGACGGGAGGCCAAGTACAGGTGGGTCTTCCTCGTACTGGCGGGAGGGGTCTTCCTCAGAGTCTGCCAGGACGGCCACGCTGGTGCGGTCCATACCTTTCCTGACTTAGTTCTGCGTGTAGCTTGGCCAGTGCTGCTGGCTTCAGAGGAATTTGGTTGTGGCCTCCTGTCTGTGTCCAGGGACATTTCCCTTTTCTCCATCTCCTCTCAGGGGCTGCCCAGGATGAGCCTAGATGTCTCGCAGAGGGGTGAGTGGGGTTGGAGTCTGCTTGACTTAGGCGCTCTGACAGCTGATGTTGCCACTGCGGACTGAGCTGGGTCCCCTCCTGGACTCCTAGGTTACGCCCCAGTGCGCTCCCCAGCCATTATGGAGCCGGGCTTGCTGCTCT